ACAACAACCACTACCACTACCACTATAGTCACTAAATTCACGACCTGTTTCCAGGTCCCATACCACGCACTGGGGCTGCGGACCGCTCCCTCCGTGGTGGTATAGGCAGACACCGCGCGTGTTGCCGCAACCCTCCGAGCCTCACGTGCCTGGCAAGTAGATTCCGAGCAGCCAGAAAGACCTTACCCCACATTGCTACGCGCTCCGACAACCCAGGTGTGCTCAAAAACTCCAGGCTACCTGGGATGTCTACGGTCATGGGTATCCAGAGGTACATGAGGTTTCCAAAAAACGGGGCCCAATTTAGGTCCCAAGAAGGTATGGTCAGTATAGTCCTTGTTCTGGGCGCCCCCACACAGAGATCCCTGAGCCCATCAAGGGCTTGGGGCTTTACAGATCCCATGAATTGGAAACCTGGCAGCCTCCTCGTTGCGGAGCCACCAGGGCCGCTCGTGAGCGGTGGTGTCCTGAGAGCGGTGCTCTTTTCCCGAAAGCTATTTGACTGCCTGATGCTCCCTTTTTGCAAGTAATTTTCACCGGACTTGCAAACAATTCCGTAGGTAGTGGTTTCATGTGGCATTGCCTAGTCTTTCCATTTTAAAAAGACGTATTTCGAATAATGTTTAAACTGTACATGTCATTCTTCATTCCTTGTGGGTTTAGTGTAATAGGAATCCGGAAGTACAAATTATGCGCAGCAACGACCCACTTGAGAGGACCCTGCGGATGCACCCTAAGCTGCTGGCACATGGCTTGGGCCCCATGCTGGAGCGATCAAGCACAACTTGAAGCTTTGCAGCATTTTGCAGCTATCGCATTGGTCTGCATCGGCTGTAGTCTGGTGGGATCACATGTACATTGTTTGCTTTTGCTCAGACCCCAGGTCAGTTCCATGTCTCTGAACATCATCCAAAGAACCCGAAGAGCCAGCCAGCTGCATCACATGATTGGCTTCATGGTGCTGATTGCACAATTTGTTTCACAATGCAGGAATCAGCAAGCAAGCGTCCAATACATGATGGCTGCTGCACTTTTGGGCTTAAGATCTGGTGGTCATGCTCTCAGTATGGTCAGAACGATCTTGTAGCCACGCAGGCTCAAGGAGCGTTTCTGCCGAGGTCGTCCAAATCGCGCTGAATTCCTGCGAGACACGGTGTTCACAGGCAAGCATGATCCGGGGGGTTCAACCGAAGAATCCATGCAGCCCTGCTGCCCAGTGCTGACTCGCCTCTGTTAGGTCCAAGCGCCCGTATCGCTCAGGGCCTAGCTGAACGATTGTTTGGTCTTGGACCTCCGCGAAGTGCTCAAACGTGTTCATTTCCGGCGAAATTGCGGGAACTCCAAGAACTGTAAGCTGGACATGCGAGTGGCTTTTTCTGCTTAAGAAATGTCGTGAGGCATGTTTCCACAGCGTGGCCAAAGTATCAAGGGTCGGCGTGGCCTCCATGGTCTCTAGGCACAAGCAGGGACTCCAAGTTCACCGGTCCTGTGTTGTACTCACAGCCCTCCTGGTTGAATGACGATTTTCAATACTCTATCATATAACAATTATGACTACTATATTCCTATTGTTTTTATGATCATATTACTATCGCGTTCACTGTTAGCCTATGACCCCTGCCAGCCTTCCACCGCGTCTCGCCGGTGGCCTCTGCGCCGCTCCATTACAGGAGTTATATAGGGGGTAAAGGGGGGTTAGAGATTTCTGAACGAGTGTATGACTGCATGATACGTACCCAGAAGGTGTGCAAATCTCTGAACAACAAATCAAAATGCAAGCGGCCTCACTGTAGAGCCAGATCCTTTTTGTTTCGGGGTCGACCTGGACAGGGTCTGCGCCAAGAATGCAACTTCGACACGCCCAGCTTATCGTCTACTGGAAATGAGTACGAAATCCAATTAACAAACAGCTTTTGTAATGGGAATGCAGTTGGTCAATCCTGTATACATAAATACTGCCCTGCAATAACAGATGGTCGTGCGGACCCGGATCAATTGACTACGAGGAGGAGCGTTTTGTCATGACGAGGAAAAGATTCGTTCACAGGTCACTGCAGTCAAGCGACGTATTCGGCCCAGGTGCCCTGCAACACAAGGAGCAGCTCATTGGGGTGATGCTTTCAGCTTCCAGCACATACGTTTCTGGAACTCCATCGGCGCAAAACTTACTGGTGCTTGAGAGGCAGAGGGCGAGGGAATCCCTAGAAGAGTCTACATTATACCCCTGCCCTTGTAGCTACATTCCCTCCTCCCAGCCCTCTGAATCACCAGAAATACCATCTCGGTGAAGCCGGCCTCTGCGAGCCAAGTCGACGGGGGCCGAGGCCGCTCAACCTTGGGGTGGGGTCCGTTTGAAAGGGGGGCTCAATGTAATGAGGAGTATACCAATGGTGATATTTCAGAAGGCCGCTATGTGTGGAAACTCCTGTGAATCTCCAAGAGAAACTCTAACAAACAGCTTAGGGATCTAGACCCTGTACACAACTCGTGGCTGTGAAAACAGAGGGTGCTGCGCGCTGGTCCTCTTCAGCTTTGCTGGAAGTCACAGTCCTCGAAGGCGAGGCCCCAAGTCATGCAGACTCATGCAATTTGCCTGGCCCCCACTGTTTTACGAGGCATCACTAGTGAAGACGCCAATCAAGGTTCGAGCAGCTTAGCTTGCAGTCCTCTGCGGCTGCGGGAACGACGCTGGTGGGAAGGGTGTCGGCGGCGGCGGCGGCGGCGGATTCCGAGGAACCGTCGCAGAGGAGGCTGGCGGGAAGGATGCTGGCGGGAAGGATGCTTGCCGAGAGGATGCTGCTGGAAAGGTTGGAAAGGATGCGGGGAAGGACGCTGGTGGCAGCCGCTCTGACGACAGGGATGGCATGCTCCTCACAATGCAGCGCGCAGGCCCAGCAAGCAAGTCAGCTCCTAGCAAAACAACACGCCGATCCTCTCGTCGATGGTTGCCTGGTATCACCGTGTCTGCAGAGTCAAGAAGCACAAGAGCAGACCCAATGCAAGCCTCAGGTAGATCCCAGAAGTCTCTATCCACCCCTGGCCATGGCACAGTTGAAAGGCAGCTTCACTACCCATAACTCCACGACTTGTTGCGCAATCCGAGTTTGTGCAAGCGCAATAACCGGGCCTTCCCCGGTTGTCAACTGCCCTGCAAGCATCTCTGCACCCCTGGCAGGGACGCATAGACATGGGATTAGAGAAAGACCTGCAGAACCCTCTGAAATATTGGCCTTTACCATCTTTAGCCTGGCTGATACTCTTATCCATAGCAAGCCTCGAGTCAAAGGCTGGCAGACCCTGTCGGCTTGGGCCCGAAATTGCACAAAGCATCCTATGGTCACACCTCGCTCCCCGTAACAGTGTGCACTGCTGGGAGCAACGCTGTTGGCGCACAAAGTTTAACCACGGTCTCCAGGTGTCCACCTGCCGGCCCAAAGCCAAATCTTCGCAAACGGAGCCACTGGCAATGAACAGGAGTGCTTTCACAGAGAAGAAAAGCATGCTGCTCTACTTCGCCCGGAGCCTCTGAGCTCAGCGTAGTGCTGTTGCCAAAAACGATCAGGCCGCGTCGGGCACCTCATGCAGATTTTTAGAAAGCACTTCCGAACTGAGCGAGTCGGTAGCCGAGAGGCGTGTCAGGAGAACATTGATTCGGCGAGGATCCTTCATAAAGCCCACCTGCCAGCATGTCTTGTTGTACTGGCAGACCAAAACGAACTACTGGGGCCAGCTCATGCTGCTTGGCTTTATCCGTGGCAGCTACATCTGACCATTTTACCTAGCTACGCTCCTGCGGCTCCACTTGTCCAACACTTGTGCATGGAAAGTGGCGCAATCTGCCACAGCTGGGTGCGGGGCCTTGAGGTGAGATCTGACCTTGGCAAATAATAGATTTGGTACTCGTGTCGAAGCATTGGCGGTGCCAACACGTGCAACATCGATGCCCGACCCTGTTTCTGTGCACTGGATAGATATGCGCGATGCGGTGACGACACATTCGAGGTATGAAGATGTGCTGGGGCAGGTGCAGTGGAGACCAGGATCAGATCCCTCTCTGCCCCCTGCGGGAAAGGAGACGCACCACAGCATGGAGGAATGCCCGTGGGATTTCAGGGTGTACGGGGGGTTTTCATATGGAAGGCTTACAATGGTAATTCGGAATCTTTTGGGACAGGCAAGGGGAAGCCCTGTTTCTGGAAATCCCGGTCTGCGTGGCTTTGGCACTCCGCACGCGCCTGGAAGCCATCCACCGTGTCCACCTCAGCAAGAATCAAATGTTGCAACAGGACACGGTAGGGCTGATTGGGCTCACAAGACCAGAGAAGCACAAGGCTTAAGTTGTTTTTGCGCAAGCGCTATTTAGGGCAATTGCAATGTTCCGCGAGTTTATTAACAATTGTCAGTGGCATGCACTGTCCAAGGATTCCGCTTTGAGAATTCGATTGTTAGGACCGCCGGGACTAGAGCCACCCAGCCCGGAAATAAGGACTTTGGTTTTAGGCCTGCAGAGTTACATCTGGGCTAGCTGCCTCACTAACGCACAGTTGAAGATACATCTTTTGGCCCGTGAAACCTGCGTACGCTAGCATGCGGTCGCGCCTTCCATTCCACTGATTACGGACAGCAGTTGCAGTCTGCGTTCCCTTACAGACCGGGTCTGGAGGCTGACGCTGACGTCGGTTTCGTGCTTACTTGGCATACGAACATGCCGTGCTCAGCCAACTTGTGGAGAGCTTCTGCAACAAAATCGCCAGCATCCAAAGAAGAGAATTCTCTTCTACCAAAACTTTCCAGTTCCGGTGTAAATCATCAACCACCCTGCTACACACTTCAGCTCCATGAAAACTACATGTGTAGGCATGGGAACAGCTACTCAAGAACCTTACATTCAGCATCATTCAGCCCGTGCTCACGGCAGAATTCTCTGATTCAGCTCATGAGATGTTTAGCTGATTTTCAGAGTATTGTCTCTTTCTTGGACAAGCTGTACTTCTAGTTGACTTTTAGGTGCCATGGCGCAACACAGATGCTGATCTGTCATAGTTTTTTTGTTTTACATAGTCCTTTAGCTCTGGTTTCTTTCGATGACAACGCAAAGGCAATGCTGACCTTGCCGGATTGAATACTGAACAGCACAGATCAAATAGCTTCACAGAACATCTGCTTCTGCTACCTTACAGTATAATCTGCAGTACTATCCGGTAACGTATGTAACTCTAAGCCTTCTTAGGTTCAGTTCAGTTCTGAAGCTGCTTGCTTCTTGTGTCAAAGTTATTTGCTTGAAGTTTTGCAACTTGCGAAAAGCTCGATTTCTTGCTGACATCCCTGCTCTTCAGCTGCCCAGTTCCATGACACCTTATGCATGGTGCATTGCGTCTTGTTTGCTTCCATGCCATGACTACCAATTGCAAGGCAACTCCAGTTCTAACATGCTGCCAGTACGCAAAATCGGCCCAAACCCGTAGGCTTCACATTTGGCATGCTGGATGTGTATCATAGATCACAAACTCGGTCGAAGATTTGGCGAAGCTGGGATGCAAGTTAAGCAGGTTGCAGATTGCGAAGCATGCGGGAGCCCCCAGCTGCCACCGCAAGCAAGCGCAGCTTCAATCCAACTGTTGTTTGCAAGCTGGGCATGTTGTAAACGCCATCTTGTGGCGGCTGCTGGTCGTCCGGCTGCATGGTGTTTCGAGTGCATTTAAGGGTGACAGGCATAGTCATCTGCGATGGAATGGCGGATTGGTCTCTCAACGTCACGTTCAATTGTTACTTGTTCCTGCGCAGCGCTTGATGACTTTCAACTAAGTCTCTTGACAAGCGCAGCTCACGCTTGCAAGACAAAAACTAGCAAACACATTGACGAGATCTACAGTGGCCACGTTGCAGGGGCAGCTACAGCAGCCACATCGCAGAACACAGGAGGGAAATATTGTCGTCCCAGAGGTAAGAGGCCCTGCTGACAAAGAGTAAATTCTAAAGTTGTTGGTCAATCGCTATTTGTTTCAATGCCAATGCTTATTTGGTCAGAAGTATCTGCTACAAAATCAGATTGGCAGGACTGCGCAAAACTGCTCAACGCTTTACATGCAAATGCTGGGACCGCTGCCCGAAGGCCTTGCTCCCCGAACCTGGCCACCTCCCTCTGCAACAGTTCCTGGAAAGAGGCTTCCCAGAGCAAAAAACAAAAAGAATGCGAGGTGAAGCCCACCTTCTGAGCACTGTAGCCCGTGATGATGCCAATCTGCGTAAGTGCAATATGAACCGGGTGCTGCGTCTTACCGGATGCGCAGTAGAACTTGAGACAGGTGTATTGATTAGGCCTGGCTGGGTGAAGTCCCTGCTTGCAAGAAGCGATGCAGCACTGCAAGGAGAATCTCCGCCTGTGATCATGCTGAAGGCATTCTCTGGGCTTCATGGACCCTCTGAGGAGCAAGGATTGCTTTGCTTGGGCAGCCTGCGTATCATTGCTACAGATTGCGGTCACTGCGCCTCTCGGAAGTTGGAGTGGCTACCTCCACGGCCTCCCTCCTGCACTTCTGTCAGGTCGGTGATGGGTGAGGCAAAAAATACCTTTCCAACGTCTGACCTAGTGCCCATTCTCCAGACGAGCCTAATAAACCCTGTTCAGGAAGGAAAGCTCCAAATAGATTAAGTGCATGTGCAATCTTTACGAAAATGGCTTGCCATCATACGCAAAACGATTGCATTCAGCCCACTCCTCGCCAGTGTAGGCACCGCACTCCACAAAAGCCAAATGGCAGCCTGGCACAGGCCAAGGAAACCTCAGCAACACTTGGAGCGCTCCCTTGAGCAAATTTGCCAATCAGTACGCAGCCCAGCAGGTTCCACAAGCCCGAGGTACAGACCCGGGGACGGGTTCACGCTTTGACATCTCGGCACCATCGCGTACTGTTCCCCCGTAGAAGCGTTCGCAGGGGAACCTGACATGCAGCAACTACTTTCTCAGAAGGCACAGGGCCATTCAAGTTGAAGGAAGCACCGTGAGATCGATGGGTGCATTCGCTGCTGCTCGTCCAGTTGGACAAAACCGTTACCTTGAGGGAAGGCTCTGCAAGGGGCAGCTCCCACATACAAAGGCAACAAAGACATGGGCGCTGGGCCGTTCGCCCTTCAGTCCGCTCAGGTGCCAACCCATTGACACAATCTCGTCACACACGAATCGCCTCGGGTTGAGAGCGGCAAAGATTGGTGTGGCTTACTGCTTAGTTGGGTTAGTTGGGAAGGCATGGGCTAGAGAATCAGGAGGGATTATGTCGGTCCATTCCCGCCTTATTCAGTTGATAAGCGACAAGTAGTTATGCACTTTACGAACACGTTTTGCCGCCAGCTGCAATGCACGTGCCACCGAACACAAAGATATGTTGTCTCCACAGCTTGGTACGGCCATGGTCCTGTATTACCTGTATCACATCATGCGTTACGATGCTATTGACACTTCCTGCAAAACTGAAACCGCATTGTTTGAGCAGCTGAGGTTGGATCTCAAAGACAGAGACTCCCAGCTGCAATTGCCTAGGTGTCACAAGCTACCCTTCTAACTTGCACAGGCTGCAAGCAAGAGCTCCGGTTTGCTGTGATGGCGCCTCACTGTTACAAACCCCGTACTTGTAAGCAATTAGTATTTCTCTTTGAACCGGCCAAGGCAGCCGCTCTGCTTGCTGGTTCTTGACAGTTGCAGGAAGCTGCCTCTCATCCCCGACCTTGATGGAGAGCGCTAAATATCTGAGATGGCACTGCCTCTTGCAAGGCAGGCTTACACAGCCGTCTCTACGTTGTCTTTTGCTCACGCCAACTTGCATTGTAGGTAGGACATTTCGATGATGCCGCCCAAGTGGCCAAAGCAAAAGCTTCACAGCCCGTCGCGTTGAGGGGCACGAAGAGACCCGGCTCAAAGCACTGCGCAGCCTGGGGCTGCAGAGCTGTTGTGCTGCTCGTGAATGTCATGCTGCAGGAAAGATAAGTTTGGGGTAAACCTTTTGCTGGAATTGCAATCGGATTCTCTTGACTGCCAAACCTGCTGCTGTTGATTGCTGATTCGCCACTGCTGCAGTGCGTGCATGGGCTTGCAGGATGCGGGCAGCAGCCTCGTCCACAAGGAGGAGCGGGATATTCAAATCTCTCAACCTGAACCGATTTGAACGACAAGCCAGCAGATCAACTTCCGCTCGCCCTTCTTCTTGGTCACAGTGGGGAGACACTGAGGAAACACGTATGCTTCAGCAATAGCTTTTTGGACATCGGCTGTCGCTGGGGATCGCGAAAACCAGACTTCCTCACAGTGCCCTTGCTGTTATTGCTGCTCACGTCTACGCTGCGACTGCAAGTCCGGCACTTCATTGGAAGTCCGGCGGGCAAACATGGTCGCCTGAGCGTATCTGAAGCTCGCGTCGAGGAGTCCAAGAAAACCATCAAATTGTATAGCTATGCGGCCTACAAAGCTCAGGCGAAGAGGGGCCGCATGCCCAATTCAAGAGCCACCGTTGCCGCAGCGCCACCCAATGGAAGTCTGGTACCTGTACCTAAAAGACTCTGCACAGGTCGGCCGCGGATACGGAAACTGCAACCACAGACTACACACAGAGTGATAGGACAAGAAGGATGGCATCAAGACTCGCTTCCCATAATGAGCTGAGTCTACATTGAAGATAAGGGAGGCATGCGGGCAAAAAACGCGGTGGCATGCAGGCGGCCCCCGGCAAGTGAACCATCATTCAGAAGCCGGTAAAGCCAATAAGTTGCTACATGAGTGTTTGGCTGACGATTAAGGCTGTTGCTGCATCTGTACAAGGCTGCACTGCGTCGGCCGTCTGTGGCCGTCACTTCGTGCACTGGGACTGAAGCTTTTCAAGGCAGGCTCAGCTGTCCTTACCCGTCACTTTCCTGACGTTGTCAGCAAGCTGTTGGGGCCGAAGAACGGGGCTCTTCTGCGAACTGTGTGGTACAGAGGAGCGGCTACTTCTAGGCACCACGTGAGTGTAGCAATGCTGTCTTGTGTTACCTTGAGGGGAGTGACACGGGGTGGTCTGCAGCAGGCCTTGCCCTCCAGCCACTCGAGGCGCCGCTTCAGCAGGTCATTCCGCCGATCCATGCGCCAGAGCTCCCTGTGGCATTCCGCACAATGAGTTCATTACACGGAAAAAGAGCTGTGCTCGCCATGCAGCGCCAAATCTGCAGGCCTCTCCAGGGATGCGACGTGCCGGTTGGCGACACCAGACATCTGCGCCACGACCTGGCGTCGGACGCTGAGCCCACGGGTGCCCCAGCACAAGCCCCAACTGAGGGCTTGGCGCTGCGATTTGTTTTCATCTTCACCTGTACATCAAAAAGAAATTCAGAGGTATGCTGCCACCTTACTCTGATTCCGGCCTGGTGCATCATTCCGAGAACTGTCATCAGAAAGCAAGTGGCCTGGGTTTGTGGACACTGCTAAGCAATGGAGGGCTGCCCTGATCCAATCTAGCACCATCATGTTCCCTTGAGTTGGATCACTGGGTTCTTCAAGAATGGAACGGCTGGCACTCTTTTAAGATGGGGTGAAGTAACTCTATATCTGGGCTCTCGGCTGCAAGAATGGAGCCCCGATTCTCAAGGGTGATCTCGTAGATGATGAGCCAGTACTCCTTCAGCCTCCAATTCATTCAGCTTGACCCAGAGTCTTCAAACCCCAAATGCTTCACGCTTTAGCTTGGCGACAACACGTTTCCAGGCAGCAGCTTGGCTTTTTGGATCTTTATGGCATTTGGCACATAAAAAATTGCTAAACACGAAGAACCCCTAAGCTGGAAACATGTCCTCAGCTCAATGCACACCCTGCGAAAACCATGCAGGACAAGTAGCGGGAAGTCCAGGTACCAGATCATGGGACCTCAACTGAACAGATTGGGAATCAGACCTGCAGAAGCTGGCCTCCTTCAACACTGGCACAGGTGCGACTGCCAACGCAAAGAAGCTGGAGACGGATACTTCTAAACATGGGGGAATCCCGAATGAACCCTAAAACATATGATCATACTTCTAAGTGGGACTCCCAAAAGGGACCCTATGCAGGTCGACTGCCTGCTGCTCGGAAGCCATCAACTGGGCCACAAGTCCTTACAGGACAGACTCCACAGAAAGGCAAAGCAAGACATTGGAGTGTATGAAGGAAATTTTGCACCACTTAGCGCCCTCAAGCTCTTGGGATATAGTAGGTAAGGTGTAGTGGATGGGTGAGAATTGAAACTCAGCTCAAGTCAATTTGCAACGACATGGAATGACCATTTTGTACCGAAGCGAGACAGTAATCGGTGAAGCCAGGCGGCGGCTCGTAGGGGACGGTGATGATGAGCTGCGACATCATCAGGAGGCCTCCCACGTCCACACTGTTACAGCCCCATGTTTTTCTTGGGGCTTTCCGATAAAACGTCTTTTCTGGGAATTCCCAATGGGTCAGGATCGTACTCCTTTAGAGTTCATTAGGGGCTCCCATTTTGGAAATACCCACATGGCCAGCCATCAAGCTTTCAGCCATCCTCAGCTGAGCTTTGTCTAAGAAGGCTCTCCACCAAGGCCCTCACCGATTGCAATGAAGTTGATGCCTGCTGGAGTCATTTCGAGACTTCCAAAGACGCGGAGCACAGCCAGACATGCGTGAATCGGATTGCAGAGGCCAAGGGGCATGTGATGCGCTGCAGGGTCACCAGCAAACCAGTAGTACTCGTAATGAAGGGCCGCCTTCCGCCAAGCAAGTTGTGTCCGAACGTAATGAGTTGAGTTCACCTGCTGTGTGTTCAGCCTTGCCTGGCAAGTCACAACAATCCGCCCTGTGCCTAGTAAGGAACGTCAGGTTGAATCGCTCCCACTTGAAGTGCAAGTACCTGCATCCGTAAATGTGCAGGAACCGCAAAATTGTCAGCAGATGCTGCCGCATGCGCTTGAAGTCTAGACTCAACAATGACTGAACCCCACATCCCGCTTCACCCCGAACTTCTTGCACCATGAACTCCCGGAACCACAGCAAGGTTATTTTCGGGCGAACAGGAGAATCGGGCCAATGACGGCCATGTATGGCACCTGAGATGCTGTAGCACGATATTCATTCTGTCAGGTTTACGACTGTTACGGCTGTGTTGCGCTCGGGGGCTGTAGGGATTCGCCAGTTTTGCCTATGCGTCATCTAAACATGACAGGCAACTAGAATTACGGGCACATGAAGTGGTCGAGGCTCAAGTGTTGAGTGCTTAGCATGGTAGTGAAGCTACGGGTTCCAATGTTGAGCTAGCGTTGCCTGGCGGAGGGCGACGCAGCGAGAGAGAGTGTGAGGGAGCTTAAGCGTCAGTGAGCTTGACTGCCTGCCTGTATTCCTGCCTGCCCTTCGTAAGTGCATGCGGGAGAGTGAAAGCTGGAGTTGTGTAAGGCAAATTGTCATGCAAGCCATGGCGCGGTGGACAAGCACATCCACAGCAGAGCGGAGAAGTACACAACCTTGGTGGTGCAAGCTCAAAGTGGTCTCATAATGTTTGTTTTGTAGCTGCACTGCCTGCGGCACCTCATCATATCAAACAGATTCCCATTAAAAAGATGTGCACGCCGTGATGAAGCCGCGAAGCATTCACCGCATCGTCTTGAATCCTCGGAATCAAGCCGTCTTGAGGTCAGACTCCGCCACTTCCGTTAAAGAGGCTGTGTTCTAGAGGCCATATGGGGAGTTCCAAATACTGGGGCCCCTGTTGGTGCCTCTAATAAGGACTGTAATGTTTTGGGGTATACTATCCCACATGGTCTTCACTAAGCCAAGGCAAAGTAATTTCAGCCCGGTCACTCGAACTCCGGCCAGGGAAAGTTGCCTAAACTTGTCAAAGTTTGGAGTCATGGTCACACAGATGGTTTTGAAAAAGAGCACTCCAAGAAACACACGGGAAGATGTGGGAATTACAAGCAGCTTATGCCGGAGTCCCATTAAGGATTCTGTCAGCTTCGATTACGACCCCTTGGTGGATACCCTCAACATGGAAGCGCCGTATTTCAATGGGAACAACCTGCTAAACACATACACAGAACCGGCCTGTCCGACCCACCATTCTCTTCACGCCGTGCTTCAGGAGCGCCCAGAACAACTGCGACAAGCTTGATGCAGATTGTGAGGCTTGAGCTTCTCAAAACAAGATAGCTTTCGGCTGTCTAGGGATAATGGGAATACACAAGAATTCTGGCATCCCTGATTCAGAACTTGTGAGAGTATGAGAAACTTTTATTCTAATCTTGTGCAGTGTTTTTTGTTTTCGGCTTGCATGGCTGCAAATGGTTTGGACATGCTTGCATCTTCACTTCTCCCNNCGCCTTCTTGTTTTGCTGCGCTGCTCCAAGGGAATTCCGCAACGTTTAACGCTACTGAAGGGCCTTCAAAGCCTTCCAGCGGTGGAGGGGATGGTGGTGGCGAGGCAAAAAAAGGCTTCAGGATTCGATCGTTCATCAGAAAGCATGGAAGCACATGCTTGCATCTTCACTTCTCCCGATCCTGACACGCCTTCTTGTTTTGCTGCGCTGTTCCAAGGGAATTCCACAACGTTTAACGCTACTGAAGGGCCTTCAAAGCCTTCCAGCTACCCAAACTTACTACTCGGGAGGGTTGGGCGGGGCTACAGAGTGAATGTGGAATTATTGAGCAGGCGTAGCACGGAAAGCGGCCACCAGCCTCTGGACACATGAGACAGCGTCCGCCACTACCACAGTCTCCTTGCAAGCTTCTTCACAAAGCTCTGCCAAACAGAACACTTTTGCACGGCCAGCGGGTTTGATGGCCTCCATTACATTCACACACCCTAATTCCTGAATATAATGGGCCAGAGTTTTAAAATGAAGCCATCTACCGCGCCACTGCAACTTGGGAAGGTTTTCATCCCACTGTCGGAACCAAAAGGTAGCGCCACCAGGTCTTAAAGAACTAGGAACACAAAGAGTGGCACTACCAGTTGTGGCTCTCAAGGCTTGCTGCAGTTTAGTTCGGAAATGGCTGGTGGAGAAGCACCAGAGCTTCTCGTCGGTCGTCATGACCCTGAAACATGTCTTGATAAAACTGACAACGTAAGGCACGTCTAGACGGACGCTCTGCATCCGAGCCCCCCTTGTTCTGGCCTTCACCAACTGCAGACGAATGAACATCACGTCGTTGTACCCAGTCTCCGAAGCCATCAAAAAGTCGTTGACTTTCAAGGCAGTGAGCTCGCAAGGCCGCAACAAGGCATAGAAGCCGATTAAGAGCAGCATTGCAAAGCGGCGCCACCCCCATGCCAAGGCTGTTGTGACCAACGCTTTCAACAACGGTAGCGGCATAGGCGGGTGAACCTTCCCCGGGTGCAGTGTTTCCCAAGTTGCGCACAGCCTCCAAGGTCCTGTCATGAAGGTGCGCAGATATGGGAATCGTTGGACAACTATGTTTATCGTCTCTGCGTAATCTCTCCGTGTCGCCCCCATTTCGTACAGAGTTCGACCATATTCCTCCAACAGCAACGAAGTCTGTATGGGGGTGTTGAGAGATAATTCCGCAAGTGGCGGGGCCTCGGGGTTTTCCAGATTCAGCCATTGCTGAAAGTCTGAGAGGAGCTTGGCCCGCAGTTCCGCAGTGACTGCTGTAACTCTGCCTCTTTCCAGGTCTCTGCGATCCCTGGTTCCGGATGCAGGTCTCGGTCCAATCACCAATGGAGGCAAAGCCGCCATCAGCAGAAAGAAGAGCAGCACTCGCAAACAGCAGCCAGCGGTTCCAAGACCGCGGTGTCCCAGAACAATCATCAATGGCATTCTGGGCTTCTTCCAGACGGCCTGTTCTCAGAGCCAGGAACCAAGCGGGTAACGCTGCTCTGGCAGGCGTTACTGAACGTGAGCGGGAGGGATCATCGGCTCGAGGCGCCCATGTGGGGCAGTGAACTCCGCGCGGATAAATGTTCTTAGCTAACTGAAGAGACATGGATTGACGTAAAACCTTGTTAAGAGGTTCACTTGAACTACGCCCCTTAGCAGTAGCCCCTAGTGTCACCATGGAGTCCTGCAGTACTACGAGCCGACAATCACGGGGAGCTATCTGCATTAAAGTCTTATGCGCATGAGCCTCCAGGATGTTAATGTGATTAGGGCGCTGAAACTTATAAGCTCGGATTGTCTTCCAAGGTAAAGACTCGGCCAAGTGAGCAGCCCACAAGTGACTAACAAACCTCTGAGCACCCCTATGGTCCCTGAGTTCACCGGGTTCTGAGTTCCACTGCGTCCCCAGCTCATGGACCTCCTGTGATGCAAACATGCGCAATTTTGCCACTGACACGGAAATCCTCGCGACTTCCTGGCAAAGCAACTGTGGGTATTCTGCAGCCCTGCTAGTAGCAGCGCCCTCCAGGCGCTCATGCGGGGTTTTACAGTTGCAACGGCGCTGCAAAGGCGCAAAGGCCTTGGAGGTGCAAAGGAGACTAGTAGGTTTCATGTAAGGGACCCCAAAACGACATTGGTCAACCCTAACTTCAGTACTACAACTAGCCAATGCCCTCCACCAAGGCAAGTGACGCGAAAAAGCTCCCCACGGCATTTCCGCCACAGCCTCATTCCCAGCTAAGCTCTGCACCAGAAAAAGGGCTAACGCCTGGCGCAAGTGAAGATTACCCCAGGTCTCAGGCTCTAAAGGGTCAAACCCCCAGGGCTGCAGTTTCGAGCGAAGCTTAGGGAAACGGGCCAGCGAATACGTGGCACATGGAGGTCCAAGCCACAAGAGACCTACGCGTCCCGCAGCACACAAACGAACCAAAAGTTCGAACACTTCCGCATTAGCCATGTCCCAACCTGACTTAATTTCTATGGGAGGACCCACTCTGAAGCCAACATCAGCCATTGCCCTAGAGATACCCGCAGACCCAGCGTACAATTCGATCACATCAAAGAAGACCGCCTGGGAACCTAAAGGGCACAAGCGGAAGCTTGCCAGGACAAAGCGCTGAAACAGCTCAGCGAACTCCTCAGGAAGTTCACTAGCGCCATGCAGCGGCAAAGGGAAAGCAGCTCCCTCATCCGGTGTAGGGACAGCCATGTTTCCCACCCCAGACTGATCAAAGGTGCTCTCTATCAAAAACTCGGGTCCATTAGGCGTAAATCCCTGAGAATGTAAATAAGCCCCTACGTCCGAAAGCAATCTGGTGTGGAAACCACGGCCATCCGTGCGTCTGAAAATCTCGGCGGCTGTTGCCCCCCCCACATGACACGCAACAATGCCAGCACCCTCAGGAGAAGCGTCCGCACCAAAAATTTTCGGGGAAACTTGGGTCCTAAGCGTGGTGGACGCGAGTAGCCCAAGGGCTGCAGCAAGTTGCAGCTCCTGCTTCAAAAGCTGAGGAAGACGAAAAGGCCTATCCTGATTACCCTCTGGATGACCTATCTTATAGGTCCATGTGAACAAAGCGAAGAGAGGGCGCCGAAACTGGAAAGCAAAAGCCCACAGGCCCATCACTTTACTCAAAAGCCTTTCCGAAGCAACCCCAACATGAGCCAGCTGCGCGGTGACCTTGCATAGGGACACTAACTTAGTTGGATCCATACTGACCAAACAATCCTCGGTAAACTGAGCGCCCCAAACCAGCCCTCCTAACAACCTTTTTGGGGTGAGTCTCTAACCCAACCTTCCCATACGCACGATCACTCTGGCGACATGCTTCAAGGTCGCGAGCTGGACAATGCTCCTCAGATGCACCTACCGGAATGAACTGAGGAAACACTTGGAGGGAAACCTTATCATCAATGCAGACCCCTGAGTAATGACCTAAAGGGGCCCGCGGTAAAGGGAAACCCAAGCAAACATGCTCCTCATCCCGGAGTGCACCTGCCTGGCGCAGCACATTTTCATGGCTGATTTGAGCAATCGAAGGAGCCCATTTGTCTCCCATCGACAGACCAGCGAAGCAGGCATGAACGCGGGTGTTAGGAGTAAGTTTGACCCCAGGTCGGCGAAGCCGCAATGCATCAAGAGCAGCAGACCCCTTGAAGTCCCTAAGATGCCAAACCGGCCCAACCGGAGTACTAAAAGCCCTCTCATCAGATACCCTAAAGGCATGATAAAAGTTGCGAAGATCATCAAGAGAGCCCCTAATACAACCTTTTGAAGGAACAACAAGGTCTACGAAGCTGCTGGCATGACCCATTTTTGGTGCATCCTTCGGCGGATCAAGCTCGAGACTATTGCGTGGCCTACGGTCAATGATTTGCCTAAGCTCCCCATCTGGTTTTGAAAGACAGAATAAATTACTGCAATGGGAAGTGTCGATTTCGTCACCTAAAGCCAAACACAACCTGTGAGCTTGATCCCAACGCCAGAACAGATGCCACAACTCATTTTGCGCGGATACAATTGGAGCTGCCGGTGAGGTCGTAACATGAGGTCGCAAAAGCTTTGATGGACTTGTGAAGGCAGTCAAGTACGGCTCAGACAGAAAAGGTTTAGGGTCGAAGTCTATGAGCTTTTGAGGGAAGGCCACCAAGCTAGCAACCGTGGGAACAACCTCCGTGCGGACCCCTGAACCTTTCGAAGTGCTCTGCTTGCAAGAACCATAGACCAAATCCCTAAGGGAATCAACGATGGTTTCCAAAGAATCTAATTCACCCTGCACAGAAGAAACCTTGGAGCCGCAACCGGAAGAGAGATCCCCCACCAGGCGGCTCAACGAGCGAGCGCGCTCCCGCAGACTCATCACCATCGAATTCTGCTCCTGAGTCAATGATCCTCGGCAACCTTTTGGTGGACACCGGGGAGGCATGCCTAAGAAGCAGAAGTTAATGGCACAAACTTGCAAATTAACTGCTATGTCAAGGGCCCGTCGCTCAACAAATCTACGATTGCGGCGCCTGGATCCCCCTAACTTCGGAGTCTGCCATGGGTATGGGATAGCGCAAGGCAAAAGCTCGGCGGAGGCAACATCGGCCCCCCATGCAGCAGCATCACGCAAAAACTGAGAAAACTGAGTGCGCTCTCGGCGCATAAGACTATACAAGAAAGCAGGCACATGCCTCCACACAGCGGGCTTCACCTCAACTGGCGAAGAGCTCACTCCTGCTTGGTGTTGGCCGCTCCGCGGCCGCGCCCCCTGCCTCGAGGGTTGCTGTCTTCCTTGAAGCGACGCTTGGTGAGAACCTCTTCGTCCTTCAACCGGGCTATCACGCTCGCAGCCCAGGTCGGATGTACCAACCTGGAATGCGCATGATCTGTTCGCAGTTGGCTCAAGGAGAATTCGCGGGCCCGCCAATCGGAGAATGGGGGTGGAGCAAGATGAGTCAACCTCCATGCCGCAGTCCAGGAGCTGTCCAAGCGATATTGTTCGACGGCTGCAATCAACAGGAGGAGCACCAAGTGGGCTTTGTCGGGCTCCCCGGCCCGAAGGCAACTGGCTGCCCTTGCGATTCCCCAAACCAGGTAGCCGATCCCTTTCTCGTTGCCCATCGGGAGCTGCTCTGTACCGCTCTATGGTGGCCCCCTGCGGCTGAGGTTCCCCCAAAAGCTGCGACGCCATCACCTCTATCGCGTGAACATAGGCCTTGGGATCTGCTTCCATGGAGGCCTTGAGCTTCTCGGCCAGCATTGTCCCTTTGGCGCTGGAAAGGCGACGCAATGGGTCCGCTTCGGTCTCCTCCTCCTCGCTGTCTGAGGCCCCTGCTGTGAAGGGAAGTCCGGAGCTGCGCGGCTTCTTCTTCTTGGCCTGCTGGCCCAACAGACTGACCACGGCAGTCCTCAGCAACTGATCCGTGGACATTCCTTCGACCCCTGCCCCCTAGTCCTCCTCGTCGAGTTCGTCGTTGACGAGGTCTGTGGAGGCCTGGGGGCGGCCGAACTGCGAAGGGCGAAGAGCAGAGGGACGGGTCCTTGGTCCAGGGCCAACCAAAGCTCTTGCCTTCGCCAGGGCTCCAGAAGAAGTTGCTGGCACAACCGTCTCCCCACTTGTAGGCTGTTGCTTCAACCGAGTCACGTCCTCCTGGAGGGAAGCAAGCGACACCGCAGTAGCCTGGACCTGAGTGAGCAGCTGTTGCAAAAGCTCCTCCGAAGGATTCGGGGCGGCCGCTGCAACAGCAGGAGGTTCCACCGCAGTAGCATAAGCCTCTGAGAGGGCAACATCGTCCTGGTGCACCCAATCCAAAGCCAAATGAACCAAAGTCTCGGCGCTCACCTGATAAACCACCTCGGTGCTGTTGTGGGGCCAGATTGTATTCACTGGCCAAGCAGGGGAAGCATCGTGGCGCAGGAAACGGTACAGAACCTGAGGCCAGTCGAACAAAACCATGTCCACCAGGATCTGGTCGGTGGTCTCTTCCTCGAGAAAGCCCTCCACAGTGACTGTCTGCGTCGGGCCCAACGAATCCGAGATTCCAGTAATGCTTGAGTCAGCACTCCAACTGAAACTGCCAGTAATAGGCCACCCACCCGGCGTAAAACCGGCAGCGCAGCCACATCCCGGTTCCCCAGTTTCAAAAGTAACCATTCCGGTTCGCCAGTCTCACAGATAGGGATTGAAGCAGCTTTGCGAATACCAAGTGTACGCCACACCATCTCACAAAGAAGCCGGGAGCTCCTCGCGACCAAAACCTCTGCACCAAGCTTCGGCCTCTGCCTGGGAGGCAAAGGCAATCACACGAGTGTCTCGCTCTGTTCGGAGCTGTTTGGTGACCGCCTTGTAGCGAAGGGCAAGCCAACAGGTATGGTCGGGACGAACCCCAATCCAGCAGCTGTTCTGGATGCCGCAGCCTTCCGGCCCAATCAGATCCTCAGTGAGCAGATCCAGCGGGCGGCAGGAAACCCCTGCCTCAAAAGCAGCAGTGATGCGATCAGCAGGTGTTTTGGTTGTCTTGCGGGATGATAGGCGCTTGGCCAAGCGATCTCGTTCAGCACAAGTGAGCGCAGGATGCGGCTCTTTCACCACCTCCCACTCTGTAGCAGCCTCGGCAGGAGCCTCCGCCTCAATGGTGACTTCCACCCGTATCACAGTGCGGCCGTTAGACGACACAGAGGTGGAAGACACCGAGCGCTGGGCCATGCACTACAGCCTCCTGTAGCCGGCAAGTCTATCTCCCGGAGCAGGCACAACAGGGGGCCTAAGGAGCTCTCCGATAAGGACCCAAAGAATCTGCCTACACCTGGAAGATAGGAACAAGATAGCAACCGCACCCCCACACAGGAAACCTGAGGCCCAACACCCTATGCAAAGCAAGAGGGTCTCCGCTAAAGAATTACGGGGGCAAAGGTTTGTCCAGGTGAGGAGGTTGCTAAGGGCTACTTGCCACATTCGAGGCAAAAAGGCTTCAGGATTCGATCGTTCATCAGAAAGCATGGAAGCACA